CACAGACACACACACACACACACACAGACACACACACACACACACACAGACACAGACACACACACACACACATATATATATATATAGTTTTAGTTATTTTTGTACATAAAGTTAAACTTAATGAAAATAAGAATATGGTTTATTTTTGGTTTTTAATAATCAGAAATGTTTCTTGAGCGGCAAATGGTCTGTAAGTTTTTAAAGAAATTAATATTTTTATTAGCGAGATTGCATTAAATTGATCAAAAGTGACAGTAAAAGACATTTGTTATGTTATGTCTATTTCAAATAAATTCTATTATTTTGAACTTTCTATTCAGCAAAGAATCCTGAAAAATACAATGTATCACAGTTTCCATGAAAATATTGTGCAGCAGAACTGTTTTCAACATTGATAATAATCAGAAATGTTTCTCGAGCAGCAAATCAGCATATTAGAATGATTTCTGAAGATCATGTGACACTGAAGACTGGAGTAATGATGCTGAAAATACAGCTTTGATCATAGAAATAAATATTAATAAAATTAATAAAAATAAGATATTCACATAGAAAACAGCTGATTTAAATTGTAATAATATTTCACAATTTTTACTGTATTTGTCATCAGATAGATGCAGCCCTGGTGAGCAGAAGAAGCTTCTTTCAAAAGCATTACACAATCTTAGTCTCTACAGGCGGTAGTCAGGTAAATCTCCTTTGATTTTTCCGAGTATTTGAGGATTGCACCCTCAGTTCAGAGCCTTTGGTTGGGTGGGATGAGGGATGGGATAAAAAAATGGCATATTTTGAAGTGCCTGCTTTCCTCTCTGACATTTACACTGCTTCGCTTGCCTCTCTCCTCTCGGCGGGGAGGTCGAGGTCGTTGGGGGTGACGACTTGAATCTCGGTGCACAAAGCCGAGATGTGAAAGGTTATGTCTCCCTATTCTTGGGCCCAGTGGGGATTGTGAACTCAATAGTGCTGTGTTTTATTCAAAGGGAGGTTGCCAATAGCACAGCGGATCGATCCTCAGCGAGGGGCTTCCATGCTGAGTCCTCGTCTCGCGCTTTCGAGGGTCTTTAACAAAAACCTGCCTCTCTGCTAGAGCTCGTGGTATTTACTCCACAGCGCATACAGCTTTGATCACAGAAATAAATTACAGTTTAATATATATTCATATAGAAAACAGCTGTTTGAAATTGTAATATTATTTCACATTTTTTCAGTGGGGATTGTGAACTCAATAGTGCTGTGTTTTATTCAAAGGGAGGTTGCCAATAGCACAGCGGATCGATCCTCAGCGAGGGGCTTCCATGCTGAGTCCTCGTCTCGCGCTTTCGAGGGTCTTTAACAAAAACCTGCCTCTCTGCTAGAGCTCGTGGTATTTACTCCACAGCGCAAAAACAATCCTGTGAGTGGGAGGAACGCAGAAAAGAGAGCGAAATTATACATTAGAGAAAACGGAGAGGCGAATGAAGGGCAAAGTAGCCCAGCAAAATGAGTGTTTGAAGACAGATTGTTCTTAATTACCCCCTCGGCGTAATCATTAACTCAGATTCCTCTCCCGCGGGAGCCGAGACGGTCAGACCCATAGATCCTGAATGACCGGCTTGCTCCGCAAACCTCCATCTAATGGGCTTCCAAACACACTTCTTCCACGTTCAAGACGAGACGTTTATCTTGTGAAATCTGCTGGTGGGTCATTAGGTCAGATTGTGGATTAAAGTCAAGCGTGCTGATTGCTGACGGTTGGTGTAAACTCAAGAGGATGCATTATAGGCTGTTATGCTGAAATGTCAGCCTGTGTCACCGATAGAGAGGCAGATGAAGATCTCTGCCGACACTACAGCAAACCAGAGGTTATTAAGAGACCTGCTGTTCCACAGTTTGCAATAATGAATGTCTAAAACTCACAATCTCACAGGAATTCCTCAGCAACGTCTCCATTATAACATTTTATTACTAAAAATTCACCATGGCTACTACAGTGACTGGCAGTCAAATATATATATATATATATATA